ACCGCGCTGGCACGGCTTCCCGGTGGCACCCGCGAGGCCCCGGGCGCGCGCGGGCCGAGCGGCGGCGTGGGCACGAGACTTGGGCGCGCTCGGATGGGACAGCAGAGGCAGCTGCGAGAGAGAGGAGGAGGAGGAGGAGGAGGAGGAGGAGGAGGAGGAGGAGGAGGAGGAGGAGGAGGAGGAGGAGGAGGAGGAGGAGGGCCCTCTGAGGTGTAGGGCCCAACCGTGAGGGCCTTAGGGACGTCGGGGGGATCCTGGGGTCGCATTGGGATCGTCTCGGGCCTGCCTTTGGAGCGCCTGGAAGTAAGAATCAGCTGTTCGGAAGAATTCGCTGTTCCCTTGGAAACTTTAAGTAGGCAATTGCTGAGAGGTCTTCGCACGAACGACCAAGAACTACTAACACCGATTAAGGGGCCTTTGAGCCAAGCTGGTCCAAATTGAGCCTGGGGCTCGGCTGGATTAAGCCGGATTGAACCGGATCAGGCGAGATTGAGCGGGATTATGCCAGATTGGGCCCGTTTGCGACCACGGCAGCGCCGATGTCCAGGAGATGCATCATGGGGAACCGCGTATGGGCTCCCGTGAGAAGCATCCTGGACTGCCCGGGGCGCCGTCCAGGGCTGCCCGGAGGCTGCCCGGAGGCCTTCCGGAAGGAAGGCCGAGCCCTCCTGGGCGGCGGCGCGACGGCACCGAGCACGGGAGCGACGAACGGAAACGGGCCGGACGCGAATGACACAGCGGCCTCACGCCCGGGCTGGCGCAGGACGCCCGCGCGGAACGCCACGAGGAAGGCAGGGGGCGCTCACGCGCGACTCTGCGCGGGCAGCCTGCGCGCCGATGTCGGCGCAGGCGACCCCGTCCTCTGGCGCCGCCCAAAGGAGGGAGCACTTCCACGGTGCCGGTGGCGCGCCGCAGTGGGGAGCCCATCAACGTGCTGCCGTTGACGAAGCCGCAGCTCCTTCGGACGGAGCGAAGGAGTTCCACGCCGACGGGCTCCCAACGGCGGTGTTTCGTCGGTACTCCTCGTCGCTCCCGGGCGCAGCGTGGAGCACAGTGTGCCTGCACGAGTTGTGCCCCCGCGGCGGGGCTCGCATGAACTTCGCTTGGAGATCACAGCTCCTGGACTCCGACGGAGACCTGTCGAAGCCATCGCGCCGTGGGAGGCGGGCATCAACGCCTGAAATGTTTGGCTGATGCCTTGGGCCACAGGAGGGCAATAGTGTAATCTCTTGCGCCCTCCTGCTCACACTCGTCTCAGGCATGTTTGGGGCTTATTGTGACGTCATTTGCACAACTAATTAGACCGCCGGGGAGTGCGCCGAACTGGTGTGGAGAAGGTCTGTGGACGCAGCCACTGGGGCCTTCGGTGGAAATCCCTCTGGGGCCACGAAACGTTTGAGGGCTCGACGACATGGTGTGGAAAAGGTATGCCAACGCAGTCCCACTGGGGTCTTCGATGGAGCTCCCTAAGGGGCCACGAAAGTCCCACTGGGGCCTTCGGTGGAGCTCCCTAAGGGGCCACGAAACGTGTGAGGGGTGTGCCAGACTTGTGTGCAGAAGGTCTGCGAGCGCAGCCACTGGGCCCTTCGGTGTCGCTCCCTATGGGGCCGCGAAACGTGTGAGGGAGGCGCCCACATGGTGTGGACAAGATCTGCGAACGCAGTCCCACTGGGGCCTTCGGTGGAGCTCCCTAAGGGACCACAAAACCTCTGAGGGCTCGCCGACATGGTGTGGAAAAGGTATGCCAACGCAGTCCCACTGGAGCCTGAGGGGTGCGCAGAAATCGTGTAGAGAAGGTCTGCGAACGCAGCCACGAGGGCCTTCGGTGGAAATCTCTCTGGGGCCACGAAACGTGTGAGGGATGCGCCCACATGCTGTGGACAAGATCTGCGAACGCAGTCCCACTGGGGCCCTCGGTGGAGCTCCCTATGGGACCACGAAACGTGTGAGGGCTCGCCGACATGGTGTGGAAAAGGTATGCCAACGCAGTCCCACTGGAGCCTTCGGTGGAGCTCCCTAAGGGGCCACGAAACGTGTGAGGGGTGCGCTAGAATTGTGTGCAGAAGGTCTGCGAACGCACCCACTGGGCCCTTCGGTGTCGCTCCCTATGGGGCCGCGAAACGTGTGATGCGCCCACATGGTGTGGACAAGATCTGCGAACGCAGTCCCACTGGGGCCTTCGGTGGAGCTCCCTATGGGACCACGAAACGTGTGAGGAGTGGCCGACATGGTGTGGAAAAGGTATGCCAACGCAGTCCCACTGGAGCCTGGAAGGTGCGCAGAAACCGTGTGGAAAAGGTCTGCGAACGCAGCCACGAGGGCCTTCGGTGGAACACCCTCTGGGGCCGCGAAACGTGTGAGGGATGCGCCCACATGCTGTGGACAAGATCTGCGAACGCAGTCCCACTGGGGCCTTCGGTGGAGCTCCCTATGGGACCGCGAAACGCGTGAGGGGTGGCCGACATGGTGTGGAAAAGGTATGCCAACGCAGTCCCACTGGAGCCTGAGGGGTGCGCAGAAATCCGCCGACCCTGTCGGCGTGTGTGAGGGGCTGTGCCGTTCTTCGTCTTCGTCGTCGTTTCAATGCTCTAGCGGGCTTGAGGGAAATCGACCCATGTCGTAACCACGTCAAAAGGAAGCCCCGTCCCTTTGTCCCTTCCCTGGCGGGGGGGGTCCCGGGGTGGTCCCGGGGGGGTCCCGGGGGCGTCTCGGGGAGTTCCCGGGGGGGGTCCCGGGGGGGGTCCCAGGGGGAGTCGCCACCCAGATACGCTTTCACTCCCCGCGCGTCCGCTGCGGTCCGCGCGCAGTTCCAGAACCCTACGCGGATTCCCGGTTCCCAAAATGGCCCCTGGAGGCCGAAAATTACGAAAAACTGAACATGTAGAACAAATCCCCCTCCTCCTCCTCCTCCTCCTCCTCCTCCTCCTCCTCCTCCTCCTCCTCCTCCTCTTCCTCCTCCTCCTCCTCTTCCACCTCCTCCTCCTGCTTACTCTGCGGACTCCGAACCCCAGGCTCGAGGATCGAGGCTTTCTGGCGCCGCCAGAGCCCTCTCTTCCCTGCTCATCCTCCTCCTCCTTCTCCTCCTCCTCCTCCTTCTCCTCCTCCTCCTCCTCCTCCTACTCCTCCTCCTCATCCTCCAGCTCCTCCTTTTCCAGCTCCTCCTTTTCCCCCCCCCCCCTCCTCCTCCTCCTCCCCTCCTCCTCCCTCCTCCGCCTCCTCCTCCTCCTCCTCCTCCCTCCTCCTCTCCCCTCCTCCTCCTCTCCTCCCCCTTCTGCTCCAACCTCCACCTCCACGCTTCTCCCCCTCCTCCTCCTCCTCCTCCTCCTCCTCCTCCTCCTCCTCCTCCTCCTCCTCCTCCTCCTCCTCCTCCTCCTCCTCCTCCCTCCTCCTCCTCCTCCTCTTCCTCCTCCTCCTCCTCCTCTCGCCCTCTCCTCCTCCTCCTCCTCTCCTCCTCCTCCTCCTCCTCCTCTCCTCCTCCTCCTCCTCCTCCTCCTCATCCTCATCCTCATCCTCATCCTCCTCATCCTCATCCTCATCCTCATCCTCATCCTCATCCTCATCATCATCATCATCATCATCATCATCATCATCATCATCATCATCATCATCATCATCATCATCATCATCATCATCATCATCATCATCATCATTATCATCCACGGCCTCCGTCTCCGCCCGCTTCGTCGCCGACGTCGTGGTCCTCTTCAGGGTCGGCGACACCGGCCGTCAGGCCTTCGCAATCGTGTAAAGAAGGTCTGCGAACGCAGCCACGAGGGCCTTCGGTGGAAATCTCTCTGGGGCCACGAAACGTGTGAGGTATGCGCCCACATGGTGTGGACAAAATCCGCGAACGCAGTCCTACTGGGGCCTTCGGTGGAGCTCCCTATGGGACCACGAAACGTGTGAGGGGTGCGCCAACATGGTGTGGACAAGATCTGCGAACGCAGTCCCACTGGGGCCTTCGGTGGAGCTCCCTACGGGGCCACGAAACGTGTGAGGGGTGCACCGACATGGTGCGGAGAAGGTCTGCGAGCACAGCCACTAGGGCCTTCGGTGGAGCACCTGGTCGGCCACGAAATGTGTGAGGGGTTCGCCCAAATGGTGTGGAAAAGATCTGCGAACGCAGCCACTGGGGACTTCGGTGGAGCCCCCTGTACGGCCACGGAACGTGCGCAGGACGTGCCGACATGGACATGCGAAGGGAAGAGGCAGAGAGTGGGAGGAGGAAAGAAGGAAGAGAGGGCGGAAGGACGCGGGGCGCTGCGTACTCACAACGAGGACCCAACTCCACACAGGACGGTCGGGGAAAACTGGTGCCGGGACCCACGTTGAGCAAATTTAACCTCATCCCTCCTCTTGACTCATCATCCTGGGGCCATTCCAGCGCAGACCCCCTAGGCGCCTCCAAGCTGCGCTAGCCCCCATCGACAGGTCTCAAAAGTTAGGTCGCGTTACCCTCCTGCCCCCTCACCTCAATCACGGGGCGCCTGAACCCATGTTCCTCGCGCGCGGTGGCGCCGAAGGCGCCGCCAAGGAGGCCCAGTGCAGAGCCAAGAGATCCGCGCGGAGCTCCGAAAGTGTATGTTTACGCCGTCTTCTTCTCCGAGCACTCCGAATGGGACGATAATCGCCCCCTCTCCTGAGGTCCAGGGGGGGATGGGCGCGTCCTGTCGGAAGAGAGCTAGGGGGATAGACTCGCGTTGAGGAGATCGGGGGCGGGGACGGGGAAGCTCGAAGCTCCGTCGCAAGGTTTGCCATAGCCTGAGGTCCGAAGGGATAAGGTCGAAGGATTTCGCCGCATCGAGGATACATAGGCGATGCATCGGTGATGCATCGTCGACGTCGGCGATGCATCGGCAACGTCGGCGTCAAACGGAACCCACCTCGCGCCACATCGCCGATGCAGCGGCGACGTGGCGCGATCCTCCGACCCCCACTGCTCGGGCCCCATCTGGGAGGACCCTCCTGAACCCTCCCACCTCCGCCGCCAAGGGGGGCGCCTGAGCGCCACGCGCGCGGGGAAGGGCACCGCACAGGCGCGCGGGCTTGCGCGCATTTTGGCCTCCAC